AGGTGCGAGTAAAAGATGTAGGTAAAAGGTAAAGGTGTGGGTAAAGGTGCAAGTAAAGGGTGCAGGTAAAGGTGCAGAAAAAGGTGCAAGTAAAGGATCTAGTTAAAAGGTAAAGGTGCAAGTAAAGGATGTAGTTAAAAGGTAAAGGTGTGGGTAAAGGGTGCTGATGCAGGTAAAGGTGCAGAAAAAGGTGCAAGTGAAGGATGTAGGTAAAAAGGTAAAGGTGCAGGTAAAGGTGTGGGTAAAAGGTGCATGGAGTTTATGAACACAGTAGATCATCACAAGGTGGAAGAGAGAGAAGAACTCAGCCTAAATCTGCAGGATTTATTTGTTAAATATGTGTGAATGAAACAAAACACAGCTCCAGGTCTGTTTGTGATGAAGAAACAATCTGAGAAAACAGTATAGATCAAAAAATACTGCAGGCCCTTTAAATTGTTTGCAGCAGTCAAAGTTATTCCTCACTTCGGTGTAATTTAAATCATTCCCCCACCAGTCAAATGGATGCTGGTTTAAATCTCGCTCAGACTAGTCTATACCAATTCTAGGCCCTTGAGCAAGACACCTTTGAACCTTTTAATTATTGAATTGCTTCAATTTTGCAGAAATATAAACAAGAGGCCAACAGATGTTTTCGCACATATATTTTTAAGATACATTTTAATAAACACAAAAATCTATTAAAAATGAATAACAATGTGATTTGGAGTTCAAACTTTGGAGGTAGAAATGTGATCTCTATTTTTATTTTATTTTATTTAGCATGTACTGACTGAGTTAATGGAATAAATTTAGAAAAACATTGCATTTGTTTTTAATAAAAAAAAAAAAATAATAATAATAATAATAGGCGAACGTTGCATCAGTCCATATGGGGATTTATTATTATTATTATTTTTTTTTTACATTTTAATAAAATTTTTATATATTTATTTTATTTTAAATTAATTAATTATTAATTATTATACATTAATTTTTTTTTTTTTTTTTGGCCACCCTATAGGTAATACAATTTAACAGGGGGAAACTGCGATCAGTCAATGATGAAACATTTTTGTATTATTATTATTATTACAATTATTACAATTAATAATAATATATAATAATAATAATAATAATAATATAATAATAATATATAATATTATATTATATTTATTATTATTATTATTAAGTATTTATTTTATTTATTTATTTCTCTAAACCTCACTTCCTCTCTCTTCTCTTCTTCTCTGTGCTGTGTTTTATTTTTGGGGCAGATATTTTGGGGCAAATTTCCGAGCTGTTTTCCTTTGAACTCTACAGAAAAGTGCTATTGCGGTTGAGAGGATCAGATTCCCGTCTTTGGGCTCATTCTCCCTGGCCTCACAATAGCAGCGGGCCAAATGCATTCTGGGAGCTCGGCACTCGCTCTTTGATGAGTTCATTTCAGCGGCGCAGCGAGGGGAGACTCACCGCGTGAACCAACCTCCAACCTGCCGACATCCGTGAACACAGGATTTTATACGCCCCAAACTCTGCCACTGTAAAAGTCATATTCTGCTTTTATGTTCAGGTCTTATGTTCAGGTCTTATGTTCAGGTCTTATGTTCAGGTCTTATGTTCAGGTCGTATGTTCAGGTCATATGTTCAGGTCTTATGTTCAGGTCTTGTGTTTAGGTCTTATGTTCAGGTCGTATGTTCAGGTCTTATGTTCAGGTCGTATGCTCAGGTCGTATGTTCAGGTCTTATGTTCAGGTCGTATGCTCAGGTCATATGTTCAGGTCTTATGTTCAGGTCTTGTGTTCAGGTCTTGTGTTCAGGTCTGATGTTCAGGTGTGTTCAGGTCGTTATGTTCAGGTCTTGTGTTCAGGTCTTGTGTTCAGGTCTTGTGTTCAGGTCTTGTGTTCAGGTCTTGTGTTCAGGTCTTATGTTCAGGTCTTGTGTTCAGGTCTTATGTTCAGGTCTTATGTTCAGGTCTTATGTTCAGGTCTTGTTCAGGTCTTGTGTTCAGGTCTTGTGTTCAGGTCTTATGTTCAGGTCTTGTGTTCAGGTCTTGTGTTCAGGTCTTGTGTTCAGGTCTTGTGTTCAGGTCTTGTGTTCAGGTCTTGTGTCCAGGTCTTATGTTCAGGTCTTATGTTCAGGTCTTGTGTTCAGGTCTTGTGTTCAGGTCTTATGTTCGTTCAGGTCTTGTGTTCAGGTCTTATGTTCAGGTCTTGTGTTCAGGTCTTGTGTTCAGGTCTTGTGTTCAGGTCTTGTGTTCAGGTCTTGTGTTCAGGTCTGTGCGAAGAAATAAAACCTGTACCAAACCAAGATTCAGTTGTTTCTGGTCAGTGATCGACTTGGGTTGTTTTAGTGGAGTGGTCTGTATTGATGCTTTTTCAGTGACATCACTCTGGGGGTGTTCTACAAGCATCTCTATGGCCAAAAAATTCCAAACTCGATTTGGATACTAAGGAATAAAATCTATACTCAATATTGACACTGATTCCACAATGATAATAAAAAAAAACACTTTTTCTTCAGACAATAGAATGTGATTTTCCACATTAAATCAAAGTACTTTTCCTATGTGTCTTATATCTGTATAATCATCAGTGATGCAGGTAGGTTCCATAGTCTAAGGTTATGTTTACACTAAAACCAATCACAGTATCGGAAACGATTTGTGTCCAGACATGATCCACACAGTAACACAAAACCTCCTGAAACGCTCGTCACATGACTAGCCTGACGTCACATTATCACAATGTCTTGTGGGCGGTAAAAACAAGAAAGTGGAGCACCATGTCTGAAGTTACAGCAGCCGATTTCTAGCTGAGGAAGATGTCTTTTCTACTAGTCAGTAGTTCAGGCTCCGCTGTTTCCCGTTTGTCTCTGGTTTGTTTAAATTGTTTTCCACAATAGCGTCACATGACCGATGTCACAAACCCAGAGAATCAGGAACGACCAAGTCACAGTGACGTGGTCCAATAAGGACGCGACTCGAGCTCCTGCGTCAGAGTATCAGTGTTTTCAGGCGTCCACACAGTGATGGATCAAATCTGTACTCGGATGAATTCATGGAAGCTGACGGCACCGGATCGTTCTGTCTCCGGAGCCGTTTGGTGTGAACGAACACTGCATCCACAACGAAAACGACTCAAATACGAACTAGTGTGGACGAGGCCTAAATGGACACGTGCCTCAGTACATCTGTGACTCACTGTGCCCCTGCACCTCAGACTGCTCCCTCTGCTCCTCAGGTCAGAGCCTCTTGATGACTCCAAAGACCTGCTTTAAAACACGGGGTGACTTGTCCTTTCAGTCTGTGGCCCCAAAATGATGGAGTGTCCTGCCCTCAGACCCGTGACGCAGACTCCTCTGACTTTTAAAAAGCACCTCCAGATTCTGCTAGGCTTTTGGTTGACTCTCTCTGTCTCTCTCTCTTTTTCCTTTTATTCTCGTACATGTTCTTTTGCACTCTGTTAAGCACTTTGTGATATTTTTCTTTGAGTGAAAGTTGCTCTATAAATAAAGTTTAATTTACTTGCGTCCATAGTGTCCATGGACTCTGTGTGCTCTTATCTTATACTTATACAGATTATTCTAGTTCAGACCTTGGCATTGTACAGCTTTGAGCGGACTGTTTAAGATCATTTTGAATTACAAAATAAACATATTTTATAAATTTACCTCATGCTTGGACTAAAGCTACATTGCTTTTATTTTAGAGGTGTTTTTTTTTTTTTTTTTTACATTTTTTGTTCGCCAGTCTCACGTTTTCATTGCTTAGTCATAACAAATTCTTACCAGCTCGTCAAAACAATGATATTTACTACTTTTTATAAAGAAATACAGTAAATATTATGAATCCGTGCATCATTCATTCATTCGTTTTTTCAATATAAAACCAAAAAAATAAGAAAACGAAAAATCAAAACCGTTTTCTTCATTATTTGTCTCCAAAACCAAAATGAAAAAACAGATAATGATTTGTTTTTTCAGTTTTCGTTTTTGTGTTTAAATGAAGAATGGAAAAAACGAATAATGTCCGTTTCCCGTTTATGTGACTTAAACTGCGATGCCGGAACTGAACCAGGACTGATCCAGGTCCGGGACCAGACCAGGACCAGACCGAGACTGAGACCGAAGCTGAGGCTCGGACCTGCGGAGGCTCGGAGTCAAAGCTCAGAGTCCTGGTCCCGCCCTGGTCCCGCCCTGGTCCCGCCCTGATCCCGTCCTGGTCCCCTTGGTCCCGCCCTGGTCCCGCCCTGGTCCCGGCCTGGTCCCGCCCTGGTCCCCCTGGTCCCGTCCTGGTCCCTCCCTGGTCCCGCCTGGTCCTGCCCTGGTCCCTGGTCCCTCCCTGGTCCCGCCCTGGTCCCGTCCTGTCCCTCCCTGTCCCGCCTGTCCCGCCCTGGTCCCGCCCTGGTCCCGCCCTGGTCCCGCCTTGGTCCCGTCCTGGTCCCGTCCTGGTCCCGTCCTGGTCCCGCCCTGGTCCCGCCCTGGTCCCGCCCTGGTCCCGTCCTGGTCCCGTCCTGGTCCCGCCCTGGTCCCGCCCTGGTCCTGCTCGCAGTCACAGAAGCCACGTAAACGGGAAACGGTCGTTATCCCTTTTTTCCATTCTTCATTTAAACACAAAATCAAAAACTGAAAAAACGAATCATTATCTGTTTTTTTCATTTTGGTTTTGGAGACAAATAATGAAGAAAACTGTTGATTTTTTGTTTTCTTATTTTTGGTTTTATATTGAAAATCGAATGAACAAATGATACACGGATTATTATGCACTTGAGTTAAGCATTTTTGCCTCCACAATATTTTCTGTTTCTCATGTGGCCCCACGGAAAAAAAAAAATTTCCCACCCCTGTTCTAAAGATATTCAGGAAAGGTTAAATTTCTGTCCTGTCAGTTGGATTTTCTGTGAAAAATGATGATCTAGTTTTGATACTAGTTTTAAAATCGATTAGTTTATCTGATTTTTGATACTTTTGACAGAACTAATACACTTAGTATCTCACCTGTGTCTCACCTGTGTTTCCAGGTGGGCGTGGCCTGCTCCTCCCGCCCTGCCTCAGCCTAAGCCCCGCCCCTCCGCTCCTGGACCGTTCCGTTCTGGAGTCGCGGGTCCGAGAGGTGGAAGAGGAAAACCGTCAGATCCGGCTCCAGCTCAGCCAGTCGCAGGCGTCCGCTCAGCTGCCCGCAGATGGCGCTCAGCAGTGGGGCGCGTCGGCGGACACGGGGCCCGAGGACGGAGAGAACACCGCCGAGGAGAGGGGCAACAACACCGACTGCCCCAGAGCGCCCCCTGCTGTCAGCAAGTGTGAGGTAACCGCAGCTTTAGGCATTTTTACTTACAAAACAGTGAAATAAAAACATGAGGATCACGTGGAGCGAGTGAACACCAACATTTTCAGACCAACATGACGAGGCTCACAGCAGCAGCTACACAGAGACCGTGACATTTTCTCAATACAAAGTGAATTGGAGCCAGAGTTAATGGAGCTGGAAGCTTGCCCGTGCTCACTTCCCATTTGGAACGCGACCTCCAGCTGGTTAGCTGAGCCCATTTCTATATACATCTTATGTTCTCAACAAAGGAGGGAGAGAAAGGGGCCAAAATTTAGAACAGTAAAGGTTCTTTTTTTTTTTTTTTACCCCACAACCTTCATCTCAACTTTCTTTACATCTTTTGAACCGTTTGACCTTAAATTAATATTCTGAAGTGCTTTTTTGCTGTTTACATAATTTCTTGGACATTTAGTGCAATGTAAACAAAGGTTAGTTTTCCCACTTACGACGGAGTATAAGGGTCAGATAAAAAAATAAAGTCGTAACATTTCGACATTAAAGTGGTAATATTAGGAGAAAATCGGCTGCTCGGAGTCTGAGTGGAGAATGGAGAATTTGGAGCATTTTGTAAAGGAGAAGAATCCGTGTATCATTCGTTCATTCGACTGAACAAGGACTGAATCAGGACTAAACCAGGTCCGGAACCAAACCAGAAAGACCAGGATTGAGACCGGGACCAGACCAGGACTGAAAACGGTTTAGTCCTGGTTTAGTCCTGGTTTAAGTCACGGAAATGGGAAATGGCGTTTAGTCCGTGACTTTAAAATGCAATGCGGGACTAATCTGGCCGCATTACGGACTGGAACCACTCTGTCCAAGACTGGAACCTGGTTTAGTCCTGGACTTCAGTCCTGGTTTAGTCCTGGTTCGTCCTTTCAAGTCCTGGTCTGGTTCCCTGGTTCAAGTCCTGGTCTCAGTCCTGGTTTCCTGGTTCAGTCCTGGTTCAGTCCTGGTTAGTCTGGTTCAGTCCTGGTTCAGTCCTGTTCAGTCCTGGTTCAGTCCTTTTCTGTCAGTCCTGGTCTCAGTCCTGGTTCAGTCCTGGTTCAGTCCTGGTTCAGTCCTGGTTCCTGGTTTAGTCCTGGGTTTCAGTAGTCCTGGTTCAGTTTGGAGGCGCAAATAATGAAGAAAATTGTTGTTCGTTTTCTTATTTTTGGTTTTATATTGAAAAACAAGGTTCTTCTTCTGCCGCATTTTTCACTTTGACTTTGATTTTATTACGACTTCATTCTCATAAAATTACGACTTTAATGTTGAAACGTTACGACTTTATTCTCGTAGCGCCAGCATGTTTTTTTTTTTTTTTTTTTTTATCTGACCCTTATGCTCCGTCGTTCCCACTGAAGTAATATATTAAGTAATAATTAGTGCTGTTAGTCACTTAAAATATTTAATCGTGATTAATGTCATGAATGTCAAGAGTTCACTCACAATTAATCTCACATTAATCTCAAATTTATGTCCCTTGAATAATCATTTTACTACTCTTATTAGGGATGGACATGATTAGTCGTTTAATCGATAATTGACCATTAAGAATTTCATCGATTACGTTCATTTTTAATCGACAAACCGAGTGTAGGTTGCTGTGTGTAGTGTGGGTGAGCAAACGTCCGTGTCCGGGGCCAAACGGGGGTCGGGACATGTGTCTCTCTGCACTCAGAAGGAGCGAGACACAAAGAGTCGCTCAGGAATTGGAGTTAAATGTAATTATTGAGGATAAAACATGGAGGTCAACAGTAATGTTTGGAAGGAATTGAAATTGTTTTGCATGAACTTGTTAATAATGTGATATTTTCGACAGCACTAGTCATGATATAATATAATGTATGTACGTAACACTGTGAGTCATGTTGATTTAAATATACTTGTGTTTATATCCTGTGTGTGTTTGTGTGTGCAGCTGATCCATGTGGCGTGTGTGTGCGCGGGTCACAACGCCAGCAGAGACGTGGTCACTCTGGTCAAGTCCGTCCTCTTCCACAGGTCAGAACACTCAGATATAACATTTATACAACATTATTCTGATTTACAGATATGAATATTGTGTTTCAAATGACATCGAACAGCCTGTCCCAGAGCAGAGCTCAGGACTGTGACTCTGACATTGACTCTGGTCTGTTTAAGCTCATTTGAATTACAAAAGTCTCTGCCTCAAGTGGAGGAGTTCAAGTATCTCGGGGTCTTGTTCTGGAGTGAGGGGAGGACGGAGCGTGGACAGTGGACAGGTGGACAGGTGGACAGGTGGACAGTGGACAGGTGGACAGGTGGACAGGTGGACAGACAGTGGACAGTGGACAGGTGGACAGGTGGACAGGTGGGTGGACAGGTGGACAGGTGGACAGGTGGACAGTGGACAGGTGGACAGGTGGACAGGTGGACAGGTGGACAGGTGGACAGTGGACAGGTGGACAGACAGTGGACAGGTGGACAGGTGGACAGGTGGACAGTGGACAGGTGGACAGGTGGACAGGTGGACAGTGGACAGGTGGACAGTGGACAGGTGGACAGGTGGACAGGTGGACAGGTGGACAGGTGGACAGGTGGACAGGTGGACAGGTGGACAGGTGGACAGGTGGACAGGTGGACAGGTGGACAGGTGGACAGGTGGACAGGTGGACAGGTGGACAGGTGGACAGGTGGACAGGTGGACAGGTGGACAGGTGGACAGGTGGACAGGTGGACAGGTGGACAGGTGGACAGGTGGACAGGTGGACAGGTGGACAGGTGGACAGGTGGACAGGTGGACAGGTGGACAGGTGGACAGGTGGACAGGTGGACAGGTGGACAGGTGGACAGGTGGACAGGTGGACAGGTGCAGCGTCGGCAGTGATGCGGTCGATATATTTGTCATATGTCAAGGCTCCAAAACCCCCGGGTCATGGACCAGTACCGACAGGGGTCAGACCAAACTAACCCTTAAATCTAACAGTTAACTAGACCTAAAGCAGGTCTAAACCAGGTCTTAAACCAGGACTAAACCAGGTCTAAACCAGGTCTAAACCAGGTCTAAACCAGGTCTAAACCAGGTCTAACCAGGTCTAAACAGGTCTAAACCAGGTCTAAACCAGGACCAGGACTAAACCAGGTCTAAACCAGGTCTAAACCAGGTCTAAACCAGGTCTAAACCAGGACTAAACCAGGTCTAAACCAGGTCTAACCCAGGTCTAAACCAGGTCTAACCAGGTCTAAACCAGGTCTAAACCAGGTCTAAACCAGGTCTAAACCAGGTCTAAACCAGGACTAAACCAGGTCTAACAGGTCTAAACCAGGTCTAAACCAGGTCTAAACCAGGACTAAACCAGGTCTAAACCAGGTCTAAAACCAGGTCTAAACCAGGACTAAACCAGGTCTAACCAGGTCTAAACCAGGACTAAACCAGGTCTAACCCAGGTCTAAACCAGGTCTAAACCAGGACTAAACCAGGACTAAACCAGGTCTAACCCAGGTCTAAACCAGGTCTAAACCAGGACTAAACCAGGACTAAACCAGGTCTAACCAGGTCTAAACCAGGTCTAAACCAGGACTAAACCAGGACTAAACCAGGTCTAAACCAGGACTAAACCAGGATAAACCAGGTCTAACCCAGGTCTAACCAGGTCTAAACCAGGACTAAACCAGGTCTAAACCAGGTCTAAACCAGGTCTAAACCAGGTCTACCAGGACTAAACAGGCTAAACCAGGTCTAAACCAGGACTAAACCAGGACTAACCAGGTCTAACCAGGTCTAAACAGGTAAACCAGGTCTAAACCCAGGTCTAACCAGGTCTAACCAGGTCTAAACCAGGACTAAACCAGGTCTAAACCAGGCAGGACTAAACCAGGACTAAACCAGGTCTAAACCAGGACTAAACCAGGACTAAACCACCAGGACTAAACCAGGTCTAAACCAGGACTAACTAAACCAGGTCTAAACCAGGTCTAAACCAGGACTAAACCAGGACTAAACCAGGTCTAAACCAGGACTAAACCAGACTAAACCAGGTCTAACCAGGTCTAAACCAGGTCTAAACCAGACTAAACCAACTACCAGGTCTAACCAGGTCTAAACCAGGTCTAAACCAGGTCTAAACCAGGTCTAAACCAGGACTAAACCAGGTCTAACCCAGGTCTCTCTAAACCAGGTAACCAGGTCTAAACCAGGACTAAACCAGGTCTAACCAGGTCTAAACCAGGACTAAACCAGGGACTAAACCAGGTCTAAAGCAGGTCTAAACCAGGACTAAACCAGGACTAAACCAGGTCTAAACCAGGACTAAACCAGGTCTAAACCAGGTCTAAAACCAGTCTTAAACCAGGTCTAAACCAGGACTAAACCAGGTCTAAAGCCAGGACTAAACCAGGACTAAACCAGGACTAAACCAGGACTAAACCAGGACTAAACCAGGACTAAACCAGGACTAAACCATGCCACGCCGCCGCAGCCCTTGAAATATTGGACATAAAACTGGTCCGTGGAGCTAAAAAGGTTGACGACCATTGTAATGCAGGACCTGGTTCTGTTTTTCACATCTTTTTTAGACCATAAAAATCAGGTAGAGCGCCTTTACATGAAAACTATTCAACATGTTGCGGTCACAGAGTTCTCCGAGAACCGTGGCTCCTTTGTGCTTTTGTTCTGCGTGGACGTCTCGCTGTTATTCTCGCCGTGTTGTAGTGTATATGTATAATGCATCGAGCCACAGTCCCATCTGCTCATTGTTGGAGCAGATTCATGGCTCCGCTCTCCTCGCTCGTATGTCAACTCCACCGACACAAACCCACCCAACACAAGACGTCTTCTAGTCAGAGCTAATTTGGTTTCTATTGTGCACAGTTGCAAAGTATGATGATAAAGGAGCGTGTTATTGAAATACATACAAAACAGTGACATTTTAAAGGTCCTATACCACACAGAACGGACTCTTCTGAGGTTTAAAAGTCCGTGTATCATTCGTTCATTCGTTTTTCAAAATAAAACCAAAAATAAGAAAATAAAAAAATGATTTTCTTCATTATTTGTCTCCAAAATCAAAATGAAAAAAACAGATAATGATTAGTTTTTATCGTTTCCGTGACTTAAACTGCGATACTGGGCTGAACCAGGACTGAACCAGGATTAAACCATTTTCAGTTCTGGTCTTGTCCCAGTCAGGCCTGGTCTGAGTCCCGGTCTGGTCCCGGTCTCAGTCTCGGTCTGGTTCCGGTGTCAGTTCTGGTCTGGTCCCGGTCGTCTCAGTCCCGGTCTCAGTCTCGGTCTGGTTCGGTGTCAGTCGGTCTGTCCCAGTCTCAGTGGTCAGTCTCAGTCCCGGGTCTCAGTCCCGGTCTCAGTCCCGGTCTCAGTCAGTCTGGTTCCAGTGTCAGTCCTGGTCTGGTCCTGGTCTCAGTTCCGGTCTGGTCCCGGTCTCAATCTCAGTCTGATTCTGGTCTGGTCCAGGTTTAAGTCCTGGTCTCAGTCCCGGTCTGGTTCCGGTCTGGTGCCAGTCTGGTCCCGGACCAGACTCAGTCTCGGTCTGGTCTCATTCTGGTTCCAGTCTGGTCAGTCTGGTCAGTCCTGGTCAGTCCTGGTCTGTTCAGTCTGGTTCAGTCCTGTTCAGTCTGGTCATCCTGGTTCAGTCCTGGTTCAGTCCTGGTTCTGGTTCAGTCCTGGTTCAGTCCTGGTTCAGTTCTGGTTCAGTCCTGGTTCATCCTGGTTCAGTCCTGGTTCAGTCCTGGTTCAGTCCTGGTTCAGTCCTGGTTCAGTCCTGGTTCAGTCCTGGTTCAGTCCTGGTTCAGTCCTGGTTCAGTCTGGTTCAGTCCTGGTTCAGTCCTGGTCAGTCTGGTTCAGTCCTGGGTCAGTCCTGGTTCAGTCCTGGTTCAGTCCTGGTTCTGGTTCAGTCCTGGTTCCTGGTTCAGTCCTGGTTCAGTCCTGGTTCAGTCCTGGTTCAGTCCTGGTTCAGTCCGGCATTGCAGTTTAAGTCACAGAAACAGGAAACGGTCGTTATCCATTTTTTCCATTATCCATTTAAACACAAAATCAAAAACTAAAAAAAACAAAATGAAATTATTTTCTTTGGAGATAAATAATGAAGAAAATAGTTTTTTTTTTTTTTGTTTTCTTATTTTTGGTTTTATATTGAAAAACAAATGAACGAATGACACACAGATTTTTAAAACCGAATTAGAATCTTTTTCTTCTTCCTGGATAAAAACATGTCTGGAGTTGTTTTTGTTTCATTCGCATGTTTGAACGAGCCTTTATTATTATTACTTTTATTATCTCCAAAGCTCAAAATGCTCTGTTCCAGCTTGTGCAGTGTTTTCATACGCACAACCAGATCCACGTCACACAGAGAATTTTGTTTGCGCCGCGCTCCTTTTACGGGGAAAACGATCCCTCAGAGCCAAAGTTCTGTCTTAGTGACCGTTGTTGTTCGCGTTAGACCTGCCGAAGAGTTGCAGTGTGGTTGGGCGTACAAACAATAAAACTAGCTAACGTACTTTAAATCTGAGCCTGTGACTCAAATATACTATATTACATTTAAAATATAAAGGCAAAAATACAGGAAAACTATTTCTTACCTGGAGACTCAATGAGATAAGAGTAAATGTGCAGGTTTGACACTTGTGGCACTGAGTGGGGCTGTTGTTCTTTGTACCTGGGAGACTGAAGGGGCAGGTTTTCATATGAACTGAATTAAACTTTTGTACGTTTTTTTTCATGGTCAACGACCGGAAAAGTCGTCATGTACTGAGTAGTCACTGATTTGGTATATTTTCTGTTATTATCTACACCGAGCTCGTTTGTTTTCCCCCAGAAAGAGGCGGGAACGTCACTCACCAGTCAAGTTGCCAAATGTGTCGGTCTAATGTGTGGAGTTTCCAAGTTAAGAGCTACATTTTCACCTTAAGTCAGAGGCGGCACTACCATTAGGCAAAAGTAGGCAGCTGCCTAGGGGCCCCCGAACCTGGAGGGGCCCCAACCAATTGCCCTCAGTGCCACTAATGGCCCAGGCCTCAGAATATTTTTAATTTTTAGAGTAGTTTTACTTTTAAACAATAATCATAAGAATAAAATAATAATCATATGTAATCAATGTAAACAAAACTGCACTAGCAAAAAAATAAAACTTTCAGCTCTGGTTATCTGGTTGACAACCTAACTACAGGGTGCTCACGGTCATGGAAATCCTGGAAAAGTCATGTAAATTGAAAATGTAATTTTCCATGCCTGGAAATGTCATGGAATTTTGTAAATTCAATGAAAGTTTTGGAAAACCCATGGAATTTTAGTATCTCTTTCGCTCAACTACAGTGTTCTGTTAAGTTCTCATTAGTCCATTATGATTATTTCTGAACGTCTGCACCTTTTGTTTAAAAGAGACGACAATAAATGCCACTGACAGGATTTTAAATGTTAAAAAACCTATAATCCCAAACCATAAGGTGAGTGGAAAGGGTTAACATTTCATAATTATCCCTAAAAGTCTGATCAAATCTACACATGTAGGTGCTGTAAAGTCATGGAAAATTCACTTTAGCACATGGAAAAGTCATGGAAAAGTTTTGAAAAGAGTGGGAACCCTGTTACTGATTAAACACGTTTCCAATCCACCATAATTCAAATAAATGAGATGTGCATGTCCCAAGAACAACTGGGAAAACAGGCAATAATAAAAATATTTAAAAAGAAAGAAAAAAAAAAAAACAAACAAACAAAAAAACAAAAACGGCACATTATAGTGGGGGCCTCAAACTCAAGTTCGCCTCGGGCCCCCAAATTGCTAACTCCGCCACTGGCTTTTGTTCAGAAGTGACTGATAATTCCAGTGTGTATGGAGTTAAAAAACACAGTGGAGCACTTCCTGTATTACTGTGTCCAACGGTCCCTCATTTCTTAGTTGGCTAAAGTTCCATGATATGATGTGAAAAACCGAGCTCAAAAAACAAAACAAAAATAAAAAAAAGAACGCTCAGTGTATGAATCAGGTAGCCACAAGAGCAATTCCGTTGTGATTGTAATACTATTTTTAAAAGTACAGATATCTTACCGTTCTTTGCAGAGACAGAAGTGCTTTAAATCTCACACTCATCTGTTGTATTTTCTGTGTGTTTCTGTTTCTCCAGGAGGAACCCTCTGCACTTTCACTTCATCACAGACTCTGTGGCTCATCAGATCCTCAGCGCTCTGTTCCAGTCCTGGATGGTCCCGTCGGTGCAGGTCAGCTTCTACGACGCAGAGACGCTCAAGGTGAGAACACAGAGAACTACACCAGAACTACACTAAAACTACAGAACTACCCAGAACTACTACCAGAACACCAGAACTACCTACACCAGAACTACTACCAGAACTACCACCAGGACTACACTAAAACTACTACACAGAACTACACCAGACTACCCCAGGAACTACTACCAGAACTAACCAGAACTACACTAGAACTAGACCAGAAATACAAACACAGAACTACACCAAAACTACCAGACTACACAGAACTCAAACTACACCAGAACTACCCCAGACTACTAACCAGAACTACCAGAACTACACAGCAGAACTACACCAGAACTACACTCAGAACTACAGACTACCAGAACTACAGACAACTACCAGAACTACCAGAACTACACTGAACTACAGAACTACCAGACCAGAACTACACTAAAACTACACCAGAACTACACCAAACTACACCAAAGTACACAAACTACACCAGAACTATACACAAACTCCACCAGGACTACACCATAACTACATTAGAACTATACCAGAACTACACAAGAAGTACACTAAAACTACACTAGAAACACAGAACTACAGAACTACACTAAAACACACTAGAACTACTAGAACTACACCAGAACTACACCAGAACTACACTAAACTACACCAGAACTACCCCAGAACTAAAACTACACCAGAACTACACTAAAACTACACCAGACTACACACTAAACTACACCTAGAACTACACTAGAACTACACACTAAGACAGAACTACACTAAAACTACACCAGAACTACACTAAAACACTAAAACTACACCAGAACTACACCAGAACTACACCAGGACACAACTAACTACCCAGAACTACAACCAACTACCAGGACTACACCAGAACTACACCAGAACTACACCAGAACTACACAGAAGAACTAAAACTACACCAGAACTAGACCAGAACTACACTAAAACTACACCAGAACTACACCAAACTACACCAAAGTACACACAACTACACCGGAACTATACCACAACTCCACCAGGACTACACCATAACTACATTAGAACTATACCAGAACTACACAAGAAGTACACTAAAACTACACTAGAACTACACCAGAACTACCTAAAACTACACTAAAACTACACTAGAACTACACCAGAACTACACCACAACTACACAAGAACTACACTACAACTCTACCCCAAACTACCCCAGAACTACACTAAAACTACACCAGAACTACACTAAAACTACACCAGACTACACTAAATCTGCACTAGAACTACACTAGAACTACACCAGAACTACACTAGAACTACACCAGAACTACACTAGAACTACACTAAAACTACACCAGAACTAGACCAGAACTACACCAAAATTACACCACAAATACACTAGAACTACACCAGAACTACACTAAAACTACACCAGAACTACACTAAAACTATATTGGAACTACACTAAAACTACACAGAACTACACCAGAACTATACCAAAATTACACCACAAATACACTAGAATTACACTAAAACTACACCAGAACTACACTAAAACTATATTGGAACTACACTAAAACTACACCAGAACTATACCAAAATTACACCACAAATACACTAGAATTACACTAAAACTACACCAGAACTACACTAAAACTATATTGGAACTACACTAAAACTACACCAGAACTATACCACAACTACATAAGACACCAGAACTACACCAAAACTATACCAGAACTACACTAAAACTACACCAGAACTACACCAGAATTACACTAAAATACACCTAACTACACCACTACTACTCCACACTAGAGCAGCCCAGGCCTCTCAACTACAGGGTCTGCGGTTCTATTCCCAGACTGTTGAGTGTGTGGAGTTACAGTGTCACTTTAACACTCCGGGAGTTGTTTACTGTGTCTTCTTCCTCTCTGAATTGAATCCTACTTTTTTTTTTTAAACAGACATTGTGAATCGGATCATGAACACAGAAGTTTGGAGAAAAGTTTTGGTGTGAGAGGAGCAGACGTCCACAAACATGTTCTGAAATACACGGGGAAATATTCTCTCGCGTTAGTTCAGCTGTTCAGAGGCTCAGACGTGTTTCAAATGTGAACGGAAATAGAGTTTGAGAGAAATACATATTGCAAATTGATCACGATATTTGAAATGGGAAATTGCACTTTTTTTTTCCCTCGCTCGCTCTCCAGAAAGATTCATTCAGAGTTTTTTTTTTCCATCTCCAGTCTGTACAATTCACTGTCAATATAAATAATATAAAGCTCAACATCTCACCAAAATAAATATACCTCCCTCCTCTCCTTCTTTCCTCTCTCGTCTTTCTCTATCTTCCTCCTCTTCTGTGAGTCGTCATCGGCATAAACATATAGCTCAGGTTAGTTTTGGTAAATTGCCTTTTTGGAGTTTTAATGGTCCATGTACCGTTCGTTCTTTTGGATTTAATTAAGAAATGGGAAAACAGTTTGTTATTTCATTATTCTGTTTTGGTGTCAAACAAACAAACAAAAAAATTGATTACGACTTCTGTTTCCAGTATTTAATTTAAAGTTTAGTTCAAATCACACCAATTGCCTATTTTAATTATATGGGCCCGGTCAAGCAGAAGTAAACAGCAAGGCCAAAAATTCAAGTTAAAGGTTGTACGGAGGATTTTTTTTTTGTTTCAAATTGTCAGTGAAAGTTTATAACACCATTACAGAGATGCAGCAGCCTTGTAATTATGATGACCAAAAAAAAAACAGAATGAAAATCTATCGACTGTGGACGTAGTGAGGCCAGATAAACATCAGCCAATAGATGACGAGGCTGCCTCATTTTCTGTTGGCTGTTGAGTTGTCAATCAAACTCCCTACGTTTCTAGTGTAACTGACTCACGGCATGCAGGGATTACGTGGTTTGTGCAGCGGTTCTTAGAGGGTTTTTCAAACTGTAGCTTCCTCGTAATTCGCACAAAGTTTGTCGCGACGGCGGACGAGAATCCACGACCAGTTCGCCGCAAAAGAAAGTCCGTTTTTGAGGTCGCGGAAAGAAGAAGAGAAGGGGAAAAGGAGCAAAGACAAACTGAGGTGATTCTTGGAGATCTCTTCCAGCGATTGCGCGAATGAAGCAGATGAAGGGTCTAAAAACTGACACGTCGGTCGCTAAATTATTTCCAGACAGGTCACTTCAACAGTAATTCTGAACGTGCACTGGATGTAAACAAGCGTTTCTCCTGAGGCTGTGGAGGAGGAAGGTGTCACACATGCACAACATTTGAAAAAGGACTGTCGCTGTATTTCTTTTCGCTTAAAAAAATCCTCTATACAACCTTTAATGCATCTGATATAAATAAATGTATTGAACAGATACATATGTACTCTAGTTTATGAAACTGTTGATCTTTTTTCTGTACCATTTTTGGTTTTCATTTAGTTATCACTGTTTGGATTTATTGCCCAAAAAGTGCTGCATATTTCATTCCCTCCGTTACCGACATGAGTTTTTTTATTTTTTGTCAACAGCTTGAAAGAATATCACAGGTTTAACTTGACCCTGTTGGAGTGTAACTCTTTCCTACATTCTGATACTTTACTTATTTCAATAGTTCCTCTAGTTTCTGAATAAGAGCGATTTGAATGTCAAAAATCTGCCCGTTTCCCTCCGTTATCGCTTAACCGGACCCATATGTTATATTATGTGCCTCGGCGTGTGAACAAAATTTATCGCTGAGTTCAACAATGACTTTTTCTAAGACGCAAAAGTAAACGTGTCACTATAAAAGCAGAGGACGTGTTTGGTTTTCAGATAAGTTCTTCTAGCAGCAGAACTTCTTGGGGCAGGTAAGTCAGAGAGAATAAAATATCAAAATTGAAACAGGCACCGAGACTAATATGATTAGACTAATGACTAATGATTTACTAATAACACAATGCAGTGATCATTCAGGCAGCTGTTATCTGTTCGTTAAATCTTTTCTAAAGTGAAGACGAATTATGTTTATTAAACATTTGTTAAGGTTGGTCAAACTCCAGAGAAACAATAATGCATTACTAGTAAATAATTCTCTCGTGGTTTACTAATCATTAATAAATGCTCAAATTTGTACTTAAATATACATTTACAAATGCACACACAAATGTTTAGTTCATGAGTAATTAAGTAAGAAATACTTATGAGTAACTATTTACAGCACAGGAGAATTAAGTGCAAGTTAAGTGCTAATTCAGGTAATAATTAAGGAGTTACTAAGCGTGAATCATTATTAATTAAGTCTTTGTTCATGCTTTATTAAGGCTAAATAAGGTGTAGTTATTATAAAGTGTTACGGTAGGAACGAAGACTGACGGTAAATCGAGAGCTTCACCTTTCAACTCAGCTCCTTCTTCACCTCAGCGGTCTGATAGTTGTTTGACAATAAAATGGAATAATGAAATACGAAACTGTTTTGTGATTTTATTGTTTTTAGTTCTTAATTGAAATTCAAAAGAACGAATGGTTCAAGGACCTTTAACGTTCCCACATCAGAAATCCCAGAGTATTGCATTATTATTTCTTTGTAACATTATTACATTTTTATTTTAAAAAGGTGTTGTTCAAAAATACATTTTACTTTTACTGTAAGGGGGGGTTGCCGTTCCACTGATCTGACCTGTAACTTGATGTAACCTGGTGGTGTCACCTCCTTGTCTCAATGGAGATACTACTCGTTTAATGCCATACCGCGGGACATTCTAATCAATGCAATAACATTTCCATCGAGAGAAGCAGGTGACGGTTCCTCTCAGCAGAAAAGTTACACCGTGCAGCTTTAATAGTTCAGATTTTAGTTTCTCTCACATGTGACTCATTCCACCTTGGCCTCAAAGCGCAGCTCACGTTAAACTGCATTATTTTCGAGTAGTTTTAAATTTACCGGAAACATTTCATTCTTAAATATTTCATTTAAAAACAAATTATTCCAGCGTCGTCCTCAGTGAAGTGGCTCTTGGAACGTCCAACGGGGCCGACCAAGGACTTCA